GAAACTTTGAAGGATCTTTGACGCTTGTTGAATTATTGATGCTTACAAATAAATCATCATATTTTTTAGCAAAAAATAAAATAAATCATCATATATATCAGAATTATCGCATGTAGTATGGAGGAGGATGTTTTTCTTTTACGCCCAGGAATGAACGGAATCTTCTTGTTTGCATCATGCCTCATTTATACGAGTTTCGTTACTAAACACAACTCATAATGACTTCTTGTATGATATTCTCCCATCTCCTTTCATCGATTTCATGATATTCTCTTTTTCTGTCATATGGCACATCATTTAAAAGATAACAATAATGTTTTTTTTTTAACATGGAAATCCTAAACCTATAGTTGGACGAGTTTTAAGAGGAGTTTTGGTTGATCCACACCTCCACAGTAAAAATTTCCGAGCCGATGTTTTTGCAAAAAATGCTCAGACACGTGGTAGCGACTTTTTCCATGTGAGTCAAACCGGATCGATAAGGGCAAACTCGCAGACAAACAGTCCTACCAATCGCACTTGATTCAATTTATGGTATTTGATGACGACAAAAAAAGAAAAGAAAACCCAAGCTAGTATTTGATAACATAATACAAATTTTAAATAAAAACAAATACATTTGATATTGTTAAAAAAAACAAGAAGAGAGTTTCAATTCATATATTCATATATATATATTTTTTTTGCATTCTAAAATAACTTTCCAATAAAAATATTGCGTGAATACAACACTTACACATTTAAATAAAGAGTATTTCTGAAAACTATTGTCCAATCATGCCAGCCGGACGGTGGACAAATCGTAAAATACGTCCAAACACATAGAACGTAGTCAAGATGGATCTTATGACCGATCACTGTTACAATATAGTTTAGGAAGATTTACTAGAATGACCTTGTCAAGCAAAGATTTGGACTAGAATGACCTCTATCTTTGAATATTATTAGAATGACCTTRAAAWWWWTTTAATTYCTRTGTTAACCTTATTTCATTTGAAGACAAAAAAYGTATTTACGAAAMTGYCATTAATGAAGCCGAAATTTTTTCCCGCCAAAATTAAATAAGTTTACCATTCTGTTACGGTAGACTTATTAAACGTCTGGTAGACTTATTACGGTGTACGCGATGATAGACTTATTTATAGTTGTGGTAGATTTATAATATGTGGTAGACTTATTCGTAATAC